CCCCCCGGCCCAACCCACCTGCATCATGGCGCTCCTGGCCACCGCTGCCCGGCCGGGCCGGTCTCCAGCGCCAGATGCTTCCAGCACATCTGTCATCACCGCGTTGTTATGGTCAAACAGGATGGAGGGCGCCACGAAGGAGTATCCCTGCAGGGGTGGGGTTTGTGTCAGAGGCTGGTGGGTATAGGGGCTGGAGGCACAAATGGAGTCCTAGGAAGACCCAGCCTGGGTGAGGGGCAGGGCAGGCAGAGGTAAGACCCTGGACCATAGTAGGTAGTGGAGGACGTTCCTTTGGCATCCCTGGTGTACATAGGATGTGTTGACATGTTATTCCAGCTTGTTCTATGATCACATGGGTCCGCATCCCGCAGGAATCTGAAACTCCGCCCTTCCCATCACAGTGACCGCCAAGTGCTAAGCGCCAAGACCATCATCTGGCACAATGTAGTGACCCAGACAACGACGGACCCAACGCATAAAAGGGGCATGGCCTGGCATCACACACACTTAGCTTATGAGAATTCAAACCTACCCACTGAATACAAAAAAGTCATTATTCCTTCATCTCAAACCAAACATTGCCCCCCCCCCCGCCTGCAAGGGGAGGGGCCACTGAGGAAATACAAAGAGGCAATTCAAGGGTTTCTTAAGGGTCATTTTGATGATGTATTGTTTTCTGCTAAACACACAGCCCCACTGTGCACGAGAATGCAGGCTCTAGGCTTTTCTGTTTGGTTCATTGATCAGTCCCCGGGTGCCCGGATCAGTGCCTGGCACATTGTAGGCACTCAATACATATTTTTGAATCGTGAAATGGATGAATGAAAGTAACCGCTGATTCACCAGAAAGAACTGTCTCATGAGAACCGTGAGACAACGGATGGATGGTTCTAGCAAAGCCATCACTTGGGAGAGGGCTCACAGAGGGGACTGATCCACCTATGGTTCACATTGGCCTATTCTTCCTTCATATTTACGGACCGTGTCCTACAGGCCAGGCCCCCACACTGGGCAAAGGGACACAGAAATTAAACAGAGTCAGTCCCTGCCTTCTGGGAGTTTCCAGACCAGGGGAAGCAGTCTCAGGAAGGCAGTTAG